TATAAAAGTCAACACATGGTTTCTTAAAAGGCTTTTGACTACAAACTAGTTTTCTTTTGTCTGAAATTATGTTTAATATGAACATAACTAAGGTTGAAGAAATTTCCTCATCCATTTTCTTAAGTATTCAATAGCATTGTTTTGTGGCTTACATATTATCTTCTACTCTTCCTCTGACTCAATGTATTGATCGCCTTATCCCAGGCAGAGGAGAACCCCTGACATTTTCATAATATTGAGAGAGCTGTGAACATTGGTTCACCTTTTAAGGATTTTTCCTACTTAAATTTTTTTTTTAAATGTATTACCATTTGATGGCAATAGCAAATGTGTTTCCTTCTCTGGATGAATAGGGCTAATACCTGCCTTGAAGAATGAGAGTATTATTCAGCATTCAGATCAATACATTTGTTCTTTTTTTTTTCTTTTCATTTATAATCTGCTAGGGCCTAACTAGAAAAGAAAGATTTAATTATTTTTAGAGTCTTAAACTAAAGAAATCACTGCTGGCTTCCAATACAACCTTTAAACAAAATGAAGTGAGTCTCAGAAATAATAAAAATCAACCACCCTGACAGGGTGTGAATACCAAGGGGATTTTCGGCAATCGGCATTAGATCGACATACACCTCCAGGATCCTTCAGCAGAACATTGTAACAGGTCATTTCTTCGTTTATTTCCAGGATGCCCTGGGAAAATTACCCCTCCTTTCAACCAATTAGGCTTTGAAGTCTGAAACTGAAAGGAAAGCAGCAGGGTCTATTTTCACGACTAAAAAGTCTATTTCTAGACACCCCCCGGAGGGGTAGTTAGAAAGGGTTTAAGGCCCTCCCCCCGCCCCCCAACTCCTCGGTGCTAGAACCTGAAGGCATCTTTCCCTCGCCCCTTTTCTTTTTCTGAGGTTCCACCACTACCCCATTCGAGTCTCTCTCCTTTTCCATCATTGCTTTCTCCCATTAGTGGTCAAAATAGGAAACGGAAGTATCTATTTGTTGCTTGGTGTAGTGCTTGAAAATGCTTTTTTAATTAAGGGGGGGGGGGATTCCTCTCCAGGTTCTTAATTTTGCAGCGAGTGCGAGCGCCCGCAGGCTCCCTAGACCTCCCCCGCCGGCGGGCCGTT